GTGTTAACTAATTGGACTAAACTGTGTGCTATTAAAATAGAGGAAAGATCTCTGTAATTGATGCAAACTAGAAGGATAGTCAGAATATTTTATTCTTGATTCAAAACACTCATATCATGACATGTCATCACCAATTAAAAAATACAACATAACAAATAGCATGGAAAAAGGCAAAATGAAAAAAAGAAATTGAGTGCCCTTCATTCATTTCAATTTTTCATTACTTACACCTTATTTTTACCTAAAAAATATATGAAAGCAATAATTCATTAAAAGTTGGTAGAACACTTTTTTTTTTAATTTACCAACTTAATATTTACCATATATTTGATATTTATGGTGTATATATAATTATTTTTCAGTTTTATCTTACCAAATTTAAACTTCTCGAGAAGTATATGAAAGTAATAATCATATACTAAAAAAAATAAAGCTTATATCAAAATCTTAATATCTTAAAACAATATAACAAATAATAGTTTTACTGTTAAAATAAGAGGCACCTAGCTTAGAAAGCGTACAAATATTCCAGATTATTGAACCCACCACTCACTTCCTTAAAATTAGAATAATGAAATATTAACTCATCAAGAGTAGTATGGATGAAAAATTAAATTGTATATCACAATTGTAAATTTTTTAAAAGAAAAAATAGAAGAGAAACAACATACCCACAGCAGCAGTAAAAGAGTGTGTCTTGTTTGGAAATAAGAGTAAAAAAATAACAGTGTAAGAGAATAATGAAAATGAAACAAGTGAGAAGAAGAAGAGAGAAATCAAATCTTAGAGATCAAGTAATAGAAGAAAAAGAAGAAGAGAGCAAGACATGAAGTAATTCACATGTAATGTATATAAAGCCATAAATGCTGTAGCCTCATGGGAGCAATGGGATTCTCGCATGCATTGTCAGAGATTCTTATTCTTGCATGCATAATTGGTCTTACATGCATACTTATTCTTACACGCATAATTGGTCTTGCCTGCATAATTGGCAGAGATTCTCTAGCATGATGAGTGAATAGAAAAAAGTGAAATATGAATGATTTTAGAAATCGTTCTTGGCTTGAACGATTTCTAAAACCGTTCTTGCAAAGAACGACTTGTATATAATTTGAAAGTCATTCGTGTAAAAAACAATTATAAGTGCATCATATTAGTAAATACTTTTAAAAGTGTAGTATATTAGTATATAATTTTACTGTTTATCGTATTTTGGTAAAAAAAAACTTTATTAACGCCATCACAAGCGTCCTGAGAATCACTCCCGCCCCCTCTGCCACGTCCCTTCCCTCCCCACCAAAACCAGATGGGAGAGAAATATAGGGGAAATGTATACCAAATGGGAGAAATGTAATTAAATCCCAAATAAGGAACATACTACTTCCAATCTTAGTTATAAAACCTCATTTATAAATAGACTACTCTGTTATTATTTTATAGACTACAAATAAGATCTTATAATTAAGATCGAAAGTAGTAATTACTAAAAAGTTTGAGTAATAACAGAGCAGCCTATAATAATAAATTTCATAGTAATAAATAATAATTGTTCACTTATTATGAGGATTTACTGATAATTGTTTTCTTTGTTTAGGATTTTATTCTAATTTTCCTGAAAAATATCAAGTGCACGCATATATATTAAAATATCCTATATATACTCCTCTGGTCCTAAATATAAAAACCTTATATTAGTATGTATAAAAGTCTTATATTTAAGATTGAAGAAGTAACAGTTATTTTAATTTTTAACCAAACAAGCAAATGAGAAAAATCCCTCCATTTTTTTATAAACAAGAGAGGTGGGGAAGCTTCAACCAAACAGACCGTATCGTTTCCACGTTTTCCAATGCCTTTCGGTACAAGTCACCCCTGCTGCGTCAATTTTTTTTCCTGGAAACTTTATAAATTATAATGTGATTAAATATTAATCAAAATTGTGGTATGGTATAAATTTTATAATGCATATTTGTTGGTAAAAAAAATAATGCATATTAATTGTATTCAATAAATAAAATTAAAATTAAAATTTATATAAGAATAAATGAAAACATAATTTCTAAAATAAGAACTAACACATCTTATTATAAAATAAAACTAACAAGTGAGATATTTGGAGAAGAGATAATGGAATATTCTCATCCTATATGTAAAATACAATTTTTGAGATAGACATTTCTGTTTTTTTTTTTCACCCGCCAACGAGAAAGACATGGTATGATCTATGGGACACTGGGCACAGTTTTGGTGCTCAGCACCAGGTGCTTATCATGTGCGCACCGTTTCATTTAAAAAACACATGATCTTGGCCGTTTGTGAAGTTTAATCTTAGCCATTTATTTTTTTTATTTCATTATATCTTGTTTTTTATCCAAAAAATAAAACAAGACCCCTTCAGCGTCTTTTTGCCCTTCTTCGTCTCATATCGCTACTTTGAGTTCAGAAATCTCCATCGATGGTGTCGGCTTTTATGAGGGGTTTCATAATCCAGCTTGATTCCATGAAGGGAAGAGTACAACCATCAAAAATTTCTCACCTGTAACTTCATTCAAAGCTTTCATGGTGAGTTTTTATTCTTCCTATCTTCTATCTTCTTTTGTGCAGAATTGTTCCTGTGAATTCCTTCGAACTCAATTTTGAATTGTTGATTTGTGTTTCTTGAATCTTCAGCTGCATTCTTGTCCATTCTATTATACCTGATTTTGTGGCTTACAAGTCTATGATGGTGGTACCAAACGAGTCATCGGTCAATTTTCATTTGTTGTAAAAAGTTTCAATCATTGTTATTCGCCGTCTTAAGGACTATGTTGATGCAATAGCTTTTTAATTTTTGGTTTCCACTTAAGTTACCTTGTTGATATAGCTGATACCCATTTCTACTAGAGTCTTGCTGGAGTGCTTCTTGAAATTTCTAGCCATTCTGCATGGCCTTAAAAATCAACCGATATAGGAAGATGCTTACCATGTTTCAGTTTTCCGACCCCCATATCTTTCAAATTTCACAAAAAAGGTGGCATGGGTAAGCATTCACATAGTATTGAGAATCTACTAGGATTGATTTTTATTGCTAAATTTAGAAATAAGATACTCTGTGGTACATGATGATTAATTTCCCAAGTGCATGGAAGTCCTATTTAGATGTCTAGATTTAATAAATATTGGGATGAAGTGTGTGTTTGTATTGTTATATTTATGTGATTGTGGCTGTTGTATCTAGTCTAATGTTTATTAGTGACTTTATTTTCTATATCAAGTCTATAGCTGTTTCTTTTAGTGTGTGAATTAGTGACTCTGTATCAATAATTTTTTTTGCCAAGACATCATCCATGCAGGTGATTAATTTGTTTTGAATTTGAGCATGTGCTTATGATATTTGTTTACTCACTGGTTAACAAATCCATAATAGTTAGTAAGCTATATTTGCTTCTAATAATGTCAAATGTTACATGATAAACACACTAATTTCATTAGATATTGGCATTCCTTTGAACTATGTAGTTTGACATGAATTGCTCTACAGTGGTTAAATAAATGACACTAACTTCACATAAGTTGCTTCAACCTAACAAACAAAAAAGTACAGTGAAGGATGAAAATTGATTTGTAGGTACAAGGTTGAGCCAAAGCAAGTGCCATCCTACAAAAACTTCTCCTTTGAGCTGTGCAAAAGGTCTAAAAGTATTCATTGCAGCAAATTAGACAAAACAAACAAAGCGAATTGTCTCCAAAAGCCAAGACTTGTCTTCATGAGCAATGTGAAGCTGTAAAGTAGTTAGGGGAAAGTTGTAAAATAGTCTTCAAAAGCCAAAAAGAGTCCAGTGTGTATTTTACTCTCCTGAATGAAGAAGATGTAACATGTTAAGTCTGTCAAGAGTCTAAAATGTACAAAGACTGGTTATATCCAAAAGAAATTGTATATGATATTATTGAAATGAATAAAATGCTATTTTTATGCAAATTGGGTGTATCTATTTTTATATTCATTACCTTGCATATAGTTTGGCATAAGATCTATGGCTTCAAGTGATGGAATTGCAGAATCTTGTGCCTACATTTGCAAGTATCAATAACAATGACATCAAAATATGAAAGCTGTATATAACATTTAGTAATAATCATTTTATTGATTGATACCATCAACAAGCTTGCACATGACAATGGTTGGGACGTAGAGGTTACAAAATCATGTTGTGCCGGAGAGACTGAGAATGAAAATGTTGAATCTTGTGTTTATTCAGGTTGTGTTGAAGTTATTGAAACTTGAGCTTGGGTATCTTTCATTTGTGATTAAGCCTCTTTTTTTTTCTTGGATGGCTTCTTAGATGATGAAGTTCCTTAGGAGTCCTATAAGAAATAAATACAAATATGAAATAAGTATTAGTTTTTTTCCTTATATATAAAATAAATTTCATTACCTTTGGTTCAACTTTTCTTCTTTTTTGTCGATTCTTCTCTTCCCAACCTTTCCAACGTCTCTTTTTAAATTTTTCATCTCTTTTGTTGAATCCTTTAGGCATATCTTGTGGCTCTATGACTGCTTCAGAAACATCATTTTCATTTTTGTGAGGAAACTCTTTTTGCAACTCAATGATGCATCTCTAAACACGAGTAAATCCCTCAGGATTATTAGCAACCTGTGATGCCAGTTGTACCATACTAACCAATAGTTGTCTGTATCTTCGTGTTGTGTCAAGTTTAGAATTTGCTTGTATCTCATTTCCTTTGACATCATGTACAACACCATTCCTTGCTTCTTTGGTCCACCGCTTGAGAATATATTGCTCAGGCATCAGTCTTACATCTTTGGACTCATATACTTTCAATGTATGGCAGCACAATATACCTGTAGTCTCAAAGTTTCGACAACTGCAACAAATTTCATGTGTGTTAGGGTTAAACTCAATTCTCCATTCCCCCTCTTCATCTATCATATGGGCTATGTATATAAATAATGGTTCTTTCTCGTCACGTTCAATTAACTTTACAGAGAACTGGAGATCCTATTGTTCTTGGAACATATCAAAGGCAGCAGGGGTATAAGATCTCACCAGTTGGCGCAAGATAAGCGCACTTTGATTGACCATTCTTGGTATCTTTTGCCGAGATTCATACTCAAGCTCCAATTCTCTGTATCGTTTCTTTTTTATCACTTTGTCAAACCTCGTGAAGAATTGATTAATATCTAATTTTAGTTTTGTACATCTCTTCACATCAGCATTCACACTTTCACTAACTTGTGTGCTTCTCATTCCTAGTGTGAAAGCATCCTTCATATAACACTTAGCCCATTTCTCCTTAATGTTATAAGTGGAGTTCAACCATTTGTTTTCATGGACGTTATAAGAAGATAATAATTCACTCCATGCTTCTTCAAACTTATCCACATCCACATAATCAAACATGCATCTTTTGAAGTCAGTTAAAAAGTGTGAACCATCTTTCATCAAGTTCCCAAGGTGTTTAGTACCATTTTGCAACAAATGCCAACTGCATAAACAATGTCTTGTATTAGGAAGTACTTCACTTAATGCTCTAGCCATTGCTTGATCCTGGTCAGTAAACACAGTTTGAGGCCTGTTTTGTATGTGAGCATCCAAAAAAGTCTCCAGTAGCCACTTAAAAGATTCGATGGTCTTATCATACAATAGCGCTACTCCAAAGATCACCACGCTTCTATGATGGTTAAAACCAGAAAAGAGTGCAAGGGGTCGATGATCCCTATTTGTACTATATGTCGTGTCCAAGGATATGACCTCACCAAAATGTGCATAGTCTTTTAACATACAAGCATCTGCCCAGAACATATTAGTAACTTGTTGTTCCATATCTAACTGGTATTTGTGGTAAAATGAAGGATTTTCCCCAATTTGTTTTTGAAAATATTCAAGAAGACATCCCACCTTTCCAAACTTCATATGTCTTCGTCTTTTGTTCATCAAATAGTTCTTTGCATCTGTCATGGTATAACCAAGATTTTCTTGACCGCCAACATATGTACTCATTAAGTCAAATGCTTCTTGACACTCAAGCCCAGATTGTTCTGCAAGATCTATTTCATGAGCCTGAGCTTCTGATAAATTTCTCTGTGATGGTAGCAAATGCATTGTTTCTTGTGTATGAAGAGGGTGATTATGTTCTTCATCAAACTTGGTAATTTTGAACTTTCCATTTACATGAGATACAATCATTCTTGCCTTGCAATTAGTTCTTATCTCTGACCGATATCTAGAAGAGGTTGTCTCTCTTTTATTTTTTTTTCTGAACACCCTCCTTACAACATACATATCTATATGTAATAATGAAACCATCTATTCTGCTCTTTGTTCCATTATACTTTCTAACTCCAAACCCAATTTTCCTCCCATATTCATTCCAAAAATCCCAAGCTCCATCCAAACTTTCAAACTCTCTTCCTATTTCGAGTTTAAGTTCATCTTCCATTATATGGTTCCTATACACAATAAAAGAATCACAATTTAAAAAATATCATTTTGCAAATATAAGATGTTATGTAATATAAGCTTGAATAAGAATTTCCACTTTTCTACTAACACCAAATATATTAAAAAAAATGATAATTTTGCAAAAATCATTCTTCAAATGAAAATACAAATATGAGTTTCAGCTTACTCAAATAATAAATGAATTGAATAGTCTATTTTTATTGTCTACAAATAATATCGACAAGATAAATGAGAAAACTAAACCCACCTATGAGCCACTTGAAATTTTAGTTTTATATATATATATATATATATATATACTGTGTGTGTATAATAACCCACACATGAACCCCATTTTAATATATGTGTGTTTATATAATATATATTAATATCATTATTAGAAAATATGGTAATAGTGAAAAATGGCATGAAGGATAGAATAGATGAAACCTCCGATGCTTTCTCGCGGAGGTCCCTTTTTCAACTGCAATTTGGCGACTTCTTCTTCAATCACAAAGGATGATCTAAGGTCAAAGACACCATTCTTCAATCTGAAATCTTACTTGCTTTGAAACTCAACCCTCTTCGAATCTTCAATCGCAGAAATCAGAAGCTCCTTTCCCTCCCAAAGTTGGCACCAATAACCCAAGATTATACCATGAACGTTGCGGCCAAAAGCATTTTTCAAGAGCCATCAGGAGCGACGTCGTTTCGCAATAAGTGTGTCCCCATGATTTAAATGAAACGGTGCGCAGCGGGTGATGAGCTATTGGTGCTCATCACCCGCTGAGCATAGAAACTGCTCCCATGGGACACTTTAAAGGATATGTGAAATGCTAATCTTTCTTTTTAATTTTGCTCTTATTAATCACGTTATATTACTGTATTAATAATCTATCACACACCCATTTTTCCTGCTCATTCCCTCTTTCTCACTCACACCCTCTTTATAACTAGGTATATTTTTTAAAAAATAAAATATATTTTTATACACATGTATTACTTTTAATTAATTTTGATAAAATCTTTTTGCCTACATAATTTGATTTTTTTATATCTTATATATATATATATATATATATATATAAGGGGAAGAAATAAGATAAAAGGAAAACTTTTTTTGTTATCGAGTACTCGATAACAAAATATGTGAAATGTTGGCACAAAACTCTTAGATATTCAGTTGAACTCAATAAATAAATAAGCCGGAGTCTTATAACTCAACTAATATTAAGCACTTTTCTAAGACTTCAGTGTATAGTGAGTATGTAAGTTATGACGAAAATATTCCATAAATAAATATAATTAGCAATCACTTTATAAAAGAGCAAAGGATGAAGGTGTATCTAGTACTCTGAAACTTTTTTTTAGGTGCATCCAACACATTGGAGTATTTTGTGGTACATTTAATATCCTAGAATATTTTTTAGATGCATCTAGCATCTTTAAGTTTTTTTTTTTTGCCTTAATACTGGATGCACCAAAAATATTTTAAGGTGTCAAACGTACTTAAAAAAATACTTCAAAATACTAGATGTATTACAAAATATTTTAGAATACTTGATGGACTCTCGAGATACTAGGTACATCTTAACTCAAGAGCAAAAATACTCATAAATTTTTATCATAGTGCACTAGACATCATATGTTTTTTGGGGGTGCAAAAGCACATATGAACATTAAAAATAGAGATGTAAGTACTAAAATACCCCAACTCAAAGAAAAACATCACATGCACATACATGGTGAATGTATCTTATAAAAACTGTTTTTATGTATTTGCTAGGTACTCTAATCAAGTTTGAAGGTATAGTGCCCAGATTGAATTTTAATGAGCAGATTCACCTGAACCAAAATTAAGAATTCAAACCTTCGTTAGCGGATTGCTGGTTAAAAAAAAAAAAAAAACCTTTGTTAACGGATAAAATCACCTTGGAAAAACTACTACCAGTTAAATTCAGGGGTGCTCTATCTGCTAAGCATAACCTAACGATACTGAAAGTTTGGACCACGATTTGTAACATTAATAAAAGCTATTTAAATTTAATTTAAAAGGTCTAAATATAAAGTTTTAGTTTACGATTTTTTATATAATGATAATTAGAAAATTGTTTTTGTTTTAGATTTTATATCTATCAACTCAAAAATTATTTAAAAATATTAAAATATATAAACAGTAAGTTTAAGAGTAAAATACATTGGCTATCCTTCTATTTTACCTAAATTACAGAGATATCATCTTTATTTGAAAAATTTATATAAACCTCTCTTGAAATTAAAATGTATGTCACACAAACCTCATTATATATTTGAAATTCTATTTCTACCCGTCCAACTATTAATTGATCATTAAATTTAACTTTCAAACTTTTATTTTAACCAAAATATCCCTCTATCATAAACATTTATATTCATAAAAATAATTATAATACATGTATTTTTAAACTTTTTAATATGTTATAAATTTATTAATTTTGATTACATCATAGAATTATATAATTTTAAATCTTCATGACATATTGAAACTTATTTATTTTGGTTTCTTTTAAACGGTTGGAAGATATTTTAAATGCATATTTTTTCATCATATAAAATAAATTATGTGAGTTGGGGACATTATATAAATTATATAAATTTAAAATTTAAAATTTTTAAGTAAAAATTTTGTTGCAAACATTTATAACTTATTTGATCGATTATAAATTTATTTAAAAAATTAATCAAATCGTCGTTTAATTTCTTATATTTACATTAACTAAACTACTTATTTTTTTTGTCCTAATATGATAAAAACATTAAACAAATAACTATTTACAAAAATAAAGAATAAAATTAAGGTAAAGGACAAAATCTTAAATTCTTCAAACTATCTTTAGCCAATATTTATAAATTTAGCATTATGATAGTAAATTAGTAAATAAAAAAATATTTCAACATATTTTTAATTAAAAAAAAGTATTTTTTAGAATATTTATAATAGAGTTAACAATTTGGATTTAAATGTATGTTTTGAAAATAAAGAAAATATCTGTATAATTAGAAAAAAAATGTAAGAGATATTAAAATGTTTTACTCTAAATTTAAACCATACATTTTTTTGGGGTTAAAAAACCATACATATTTTTTAATAATCGAAAAAGTAAATTAGCAAATAAAAAAGTATTTCAACTTATTTTTAATTAAAAAACGTTTTTTAGAATATTTTTAAACAAAGTTAACAATTTGGATGTAAATATATGTTTTTAAAATTAAGAAAAAAGTATGTGTAATCAGGACGAAATGTAAGAGATGTTAGAATATTTTATTCTAAATTTAAACCATACAATTTTTTTGGTAAAAAAAACCATGCATATTTTTGGATACATTGGAAAAGTAAACCATATTGCCTTCGGTTCTTGATATAAGATCTCATTTCACTTTTATTTTGGTCATAAATATAATATCCCAATTTAGTTTATCTATCATATTTATTTATTTTTTTCTAAGATAGTCTTTCTAATAATAGTAGTTCTAGTCAATAAATTTGATTAGCAATGATATTTTAGGAAAAACAACACCTATTTATTACAAATAACTAACTTAATATATTTTCTTGATCTATTTAAATTAGTCAACTAATTTTTTTAAATATAAAATAAGAGGTAGTACATATTTAGTTTGAAACTCATTATAAGGCTCCATACACAACCTGACAAAGAAAAAGTGGTCCATAAGTAATGAGCTTATTTCTAGATTCTAGATTTCTCACGTCAAATAATAACTCTTACAAATTTTTTCTTGTTTTGGGTTACTCTTCCATTCTTAATTATTCAACTAGGCACCAACCTAGCAGTGTAGCATTAAAATGTTTTAAATGATTTTGAATTTTATGTATTGAAGTTGTAAGTACGGTGAGTAAACTTCATGATGATAAAGTGTACTTGATCTTTTAATGCGTACTTATCACATGAGAGCAATAAATTTTATTGAACATGAGGAAAAATTATTTTTTAAAACTTTATTTATTAACATTATGATTAGGATACCAGACTTAATGAGTGTAAAGTACCCATTAATTAGTATTAAAGCTCCAATACCCCAATTGAAGTGCAGAGTAGAATCTCTCCATCGAACCCTCTCTCCATTGTACCTCCATTTAGTAAAAATGGTGTCGTTCAGTCATGTTAAAAAATATTGGGCCACTTTTTATTTTTCCCTTTTCAAATCCAATTTAGCACTTCTACAATGGGGTTGAGCAAAGCTTATGCTTCTCCTTGACAAAGTTGCAAGAAGCAACCAAGAATTGGGACTCTAAAGCCATTAACAACATTGGTTGGTTTCAGTAATGTGCATGTAGGCATCATCAACGAAAGAACAAAAGTTGTTGTGAAAAGAGGAAACCCACAATCCAAACAAGGAAACAATGAGTTTCAAACAGAGATTCAAATGCTACTTGGTTTTTCTCATTATTGGATACTGCAATGAGAATGACAAGATTATCTTGATCTTTGAATACAAAGGCTCTATGCCAAAAATCGTCCTCTTCTCTCATGGAAACAAAGGCTCGAGATCTACACAAGTAATGTGAGATTGTAAAAAGGTTGAATTAAATTGAAAACTGAGAAGGCCAATATTTTTTTAATGTAAACAAATGAAGCCATTTTTACTAAATGGAGACACAATGGAGAGAAGGTTCAATGGAGAGATTCTGCTCCGATTGAAGTGACACAAGGGCACAACGCTAGCCAAGCTCTTGGATAATCTCA